CTCTGACTTCTGAACACGAAACCGATTCTTGCAGTATGCATCTTGGAAAACGAAAGGGAAGCTATGTAGTAGTTCGGAAAAACAAAATCCCGGCGGCAAACTTGGGCGCCACGCGAATACTTGGGTTCTGCAGGGTCTGAAAACCCTAAACCCTAAACCCTAAACCCTAAACCCTAAACCCTAAACCCTAATATAGAGACTTGAAGAGTTGTCGGTATCATTGTCAGCTATACTCTGATAGACTCCAAGCGCCTTTATCTGTTCAGGACCCTATATTAGTCCCTAGACTATCCTAGACCTGAAACCCTATGCAATTTGACCCTGAATCCTAAACCCCAAGTCCTAACCGTTTATCCAAAAGCACCCGCGACACCCCCTAAACCCTAAACCCTAAACCCGCAATCTCTGCTGCAGGTGACCTTGGAACTCACTCGAGACAGTCCACGGCTGAGCACACACCCTGAACCCTTAACTCTAAGCCGCGCAAGAAGGGTACTTCTTCTTAGGAGCCCAGTAGGTAAACTTTAAACTTTTTGGTATATTAAGCCCCCTACTTAAAGAAAAGTTTAAACTCTTTTGGGCCAGGGTACTGGGCTTCAAGGTCTTTGGGGCCTCTACCAGCTCAGATTTAGTTGGTTTTTACGCTCATAGCTCCCATATCTTATTGTGAGAGTCTGAACTTAACTTATAGATGTTGGAGAAAAGGTGCATGTTGCAAGCCTCCTTATGAGCTTTGGAAGAAGGAGGCCGAGAAAATTGAGGCTTTAGGCTGGGTGGGAGGCAAAGTACATATTTTCCTGCATACAGACGTACATACCCTAACCCGCCAGGTACCTACTATATAGGGTACTAGAGGTCCTAGGGCCCTACATAGTAGGTACCTGGAGGGTTAGGGATACCGTACCATACCCTGCCCTGCCCTGCCGCACCGTCCCGCGCGACACAATGCCATGCCGCACCCATACCAGACCATACCAAACCAGACCAGAGTGCACAAATGCTTTAATGGTTTGGTATTTCTTTGTCTATCTATGTATGCAGCATGTATGCAGCATATATGCACCCGTGTGTGTATGCATGTACATATCGGCACTTCTTGTTCCGGAGTGTTTCGCTCAGAAGTACAGTATCCCTACCCGAGCACCTCTTAAACCCCCAACCATCCAATCCCTAACCCAAAATCCATGAATGTGACCTCCCCGCAAAAGTCCTCGATTTCCCTGCAAAAGTCCTTGATTACCTAGATCAGCCTCGTCAGGAAAGACCCATACTTGTATAAAACCATAACACTCCAAGCCCAAACCGTAAACCCTCAACCCTAAACCTCAACACCGCAAGGCTGTGTGCTCTTCGTCCCCTACATCTTCGAGAATCTCACTCCCTTGCACCTTCAACTCACGCGAGGCCTTTGCCGTCGGGTTCCTGTATTGGGCTCCTTAAACTAATTCCTTTATAGGGCTTTTAGAAGCTTCCTAGGAAGCTTAGCTGTCTTTTCAGGTTTCCTGTTATTAGTGTTTAGGAATTTTATAGGGTTAAGGGTACAGGTAAAGGGTCCTTATCCGGGTCTCCTAGCACCTGTTCAAGAGTTCAGGGTCTTGTCCTTAAAAATGCAAGTGCCCAAAAGGACGAAACTGGCAGATGCAAAAGCCGAAGTTGCATGGGCCGAGTTGGAGGCAGGACGGAGGCTGTCAGTCAGCAAACCCACAAGCTCTCTCTCATGACATGCACAAAGCGAGACGAGATTCTTCAGCGTGCAGGGTTTAGGCGGATTAGATAACAGCAAGCCGAGGAAGAGCGTGACTGATCACCTAGTAACCAAACTGCCTGGACTTTCAAGCGAAAAACAGAACACCGGAATTGAACAACCGCTGTTGTACATAAATATTTTGCCTCTTATCTTGGACCGAAAACCTCAGTTGAACTCTGAACCCTGACACCCAGATTTCTATGGCGAATCCGAAATCAAACCTGACCCCCCAAAACCTTAATCCTAAACGCCTTTCGGAGGTGGAAGAAGGCGCATCAAGAATCCAAGCCAGACATCTTTGTAGAGCGTCCTCATAGAGCCTTTCTCAATTCTCATAAAGCCAAAAAACCATATGAAACACAACATGCTGTTAAGCGTCCTCAATCTTCATGAGACCTTGTACTGCAGAAACCCAACAAGCCGTTTAAGTTCAAACATCCTCAATCCTTGTCCCAACCCGCGGCAAGCATCATGATAGGATTTCCTGATAGCGTAGATAGCCAATGGGAGGGCTTTAGAGCCTTTTTGGCCTTATGTGCACGGTTTAGGGTTTGGGGTTCAGGGTTGGTTGATGTATCTGTAAAGTTTGAACTTTTGTTGGGCGGGTTATTGAAGAAGAGAGATACAGTCTGCTAAACCTTTTTAATGCCCTCTTGTACCCTAAAACAGCCCAACAGGCTGTTTAAGACCCTTAATCCCTGCAGAAAGTTATAGAATCATGGTAGAATCAAACTAGCGAAGCCCTTACGCTACAACTAACGGCTTGTCAAAATAGCCTTCAAGACGTAGCCCAGATGGCCTTTCCTCTGTGGCACCGGGCTGCCGGCGAGTTCTACCCACAGGCCGGAGGGTTTTAAAGTTTAGCTTTTCGGTCTTCAGGATGTTAGGGTCTTAATAATCAGAATAGGGTTTTGGGTTATAGTATACGGTAACTAAGAATAAGGAACCCCCAAAGTAGTATTGGTAATTACTCAGGCCCCTGCATTAAACCTCCAGGGTTTGGAGAGTTTCAGGGTGTTTTGGGAGGGTTCAGGGTTTGTGGGGTTCACGGGTTTCAAGGCACAACGGAATTCTGACTTTTCTGTGGTTTCAACGTCGGTTGTGTGTGCATGTGTGTGAGCTTGCATATATATATATATATATGTACATATATATATATATACACATCTTTCTTTCTTCGTATTTACACACATACACACATTTACTTACAGTTCTTTGTGCGTGTTTGTGTTTGCTTTGTTTAGGGAATGGGCCTTGATTCAGCGCTGGTAGGCCCTAAACCCTAAACCCTAAACCCTAAACTCCCTTCGGTGGATCTTTCAGGGTTTCAGCGAGGCTTGCCAGGGGCGGGTCAACTCGAAACCCTCCAGCCTAGAACCTTAAACCCGAATAGGCCCTCAAGGTTTAGGGTTTAGGGTTTAGGGTTTAGGGTTTAGGAACCTCATATAATATAGGGGCCTAACTAATTTTGGGGGTTCCTTTTTATAATTTTAGTATAAAGGGGCCCAAATCTGTATTGTAGTTCTGAAGGCCCCTTTGTTCACCCTCAAGCCGGATAAAGCCCAAACCCCTAAAGCCATGAACCCTAAGCCACAAAAGCCGCAACCCTGATGTCCTGAAAGGGTCCTAAGTACTTATATGGTAGAATGTAGGGCTTCTATAGTAGAAAATAACTACTACTATGATTTGGGGAGGTGTCCCCACGAGATCAGTACCCCTCTAGATCCCTTAAAGGATCCCTTAAAGGAACCCCTGTAGAAGGAGCCCTTAGAGTATCCCCCACAACAGTACCTAGCACCATTTGGGCCTGATACTTAAACCCTAAACCCTAAACCCTCTTCCGTCTTCCTTCTGTACTACAAGAACAATGGTCTGTACCGGTCTTGTTTCACAGTGTGTGCTACTCTAGCAGGCGGTCGGAAAGGGCATGTCAAGACACTTTAAACAACAACCCTAAACCCCCAAACCGTAAACCCTAAACCCTAAACCCCTAAACCGTAAACCCTAAACCCCTAAACCCCTAAACCCTAAACCGGAAACCCGGTTTTGTCCATGGGACCCCTCATCCTTGCAGATCCTTTGCATCCTGACTCGGCCTTCTTCTCTATCTCTACGAAGGAGGTTCGGGCCTTTAAGGGTTTAGGGTTTAGGGTCCAGGGGTAAGTGTGCAGCGAGGTTTCGGGTATTGGGTTTCAGTTTGGTGTTGTGTTTCAGTAGCTGGGTAGCTCCTTGCACAATATGTTGGGCATGTCTGTACAACCTCTCTTCCGGGCGTGATGTGATTACACGACACTCCTTTTTCTTGGGCCGACCGGCGCCCTCAGCACTGCCAACCTTAAACCCTATAATGTAGGGTCCGAACCCCTAAATAGTATAGGTAATTATTTAGGCCCTTATATTATATATTAAACCCTAGGGTGGCAATTCCTTGATGTCGCTTTGGATGTAGGAGCGACCTAAGGAAGTAAATGCCATGCGGATGCTTGCGACCTTTAGTGGGTTTAGCCCGAAACCCCGACAGCACAAAACCCTACCTTGAAACCCCAAAGCTCTAAAGCCCAAAGCGATGTTGCAGAAGTGGAGTAGGGTTTGGAAGCTTATATTCTAATATTGGGCATGAAAAAGTTTGCATTAATATATCTAATAAAGGAGAGACTATGAGAGGATATGTATATAAGCCCAAATGTATGAATTATAGCCACCGTGTAAGTCTGGCCCGTCTTGCGAGCGCCTTCTGAACAGACGCCCCCCCCCCCCTCCCCCTTTCCCCCAAAGCCTAAACGACAGAAACAATGCCGGGTCTCTAGGGTTGCAGGCAGTTTAAGGTTTTTGGGTTTAGGGGTTCAGGGCTTAGGGTTTTGGGTGAGCAGGAGGTAACATCTCGATACGACATGCGCAGAAGCACCTGCCAACATGGCGCTACTGAAGTTTGCTCTAGAAATGGATTTCATTTGTGGCACAATCGCACTTTCTCAAACGTACGCCTTGGAGAAGACTTGTCGTGGAGTTTTAGTTGTGTATCACATTGAAATGATCCCGGGGGCTGCGGCTTTCCAATATACCTTAGTTAAGGAGTATATGCCTTGAAGCATATGAGGGATCCTACTATAATTTCAATTTCAGGTATACTCTTTACTTAATCAAGGGACATTGGAAGGTCCGGGAAGCTGAACTTGAGTGCCGTTGCACTTCGTGGCTCAGGAGATCTGGCGGCTTTTTATGGTATTTTCGAGAGTCGAATTAAGAGCAAGAGATGGTTGGTCGCCCATTTCTGTGCTTCATTGCGGTCAGCGTGTCGCAAGCTTCTACGATATTAGATGAGCTTCTTGGTGCCTTCAAGAGCGAGCGTGGCCTCCTATTCCGAGCCACGCAGGATTTCTCAAACTTCACGCAGTTGCCCCAATCAGCATGTGCTCTCAGATGGGACTTGCCTCCAGCCCTATACGTCGTGAAGGCGGAGACAGAGGTCACCGGCTTGGTATTGCAGCCGAAGGTACAAGTTGAGTGTGCCTACCCAGTCAACGGCAATTCCGACTTTCGGAAGGACGTGCACGGCCAGAAGGACTTGTGTGGACTTACAGACAACCCTGCGGCAGGGCGCGAAGCGACCAACATGAGCGGTCCTTGCAGCTTTGCCTCACCAAACGACTATGCCCAGGCATACTTCAACATTCCTCAACGCCATCTCCTCGGATTCGATGGCTTTTGGAACCTCAATTGGGCAACCTGCCATTTCGGCAAAGCCAAAGAGGCCCTAGAAGCTCAAAAGGCCTTGTGGCAACTTGCAACGAAGCTACCCCCTGCCACCACGGCTCAGCAATGGCTTCGAAATGCATCCAAGGTGGGCTTCGCTCTAACGGCTTTCAACGAGATCGTCGTGGCGCCAGTCCACTCCGCAGATGTCCGGGCCGTATTCTGGGCGCATTCGGGCCCATTCCGAGATCCAGGCCCAAGTGACTGGAGAGCTTGCATGCTAGCAGAGTTCCATGGTCTTCTGGTAGTACCCTAATTCTGTCTTTTTCGTTTTGGGGTCTCCGGATTTTACGCAAAAGGAGGGGTAACCTACAGAACTACTGTAGAATCCGTATGAAACCTTGCAAAATCGTCCCAGAACCTTCCTAAAGACCCTGATGCCGGAAGCCACCATAGAGTTGGAACATCATAACCTTCATGATGCTAAACCCCTAAACCCGAAACCCTAAATTCCACATTCCTGCGGTTCGCTATAGATCCTTATGGGGGAGAGCGGAGGTTGCTCCCCCCAACACCCAAATCCCTAACGTAGGTTCAGGGTTTGGGGTTTCGGGTTCAGGGTGTAGGGCTTAGGAAGTCTAGGGTTTAGGG